ATGTAGGTCATATTTCTTCCTCTTCCTCTTCTTCTTCTTCTTCTTCTTCTTCTTCTTCTTCTTCTTCTTCTTCAAGATTTTATTTATTTATTTTGAGTGAGAGAGAGCATGAGTGTGGGGTGAGGGGAAGAGGGAGAACAGACTCCCCCACTGAGCAGGGAACCAGATGTGGAGCTCCATCCCAGGACTCCAGGATCATGACCTGAGCTGAAGACAGATACTTAACCAACTAAGCCACACAGGCATCCCACTCACATTTCTCATAAAGAAACAAATTATACTTCTATTTACCTTTGGCACTTAATCACCAGAAATGGCCCCAAACCTTGAATCCCCAGATTTCTGAATACCATCTTGTCTATTATCTCTTCTATAGAATGTAGTAAGAATATAACTGGAATATTCAAATGGCCCCTTTAGTCTTTAATGATTCTGTCAACAGGAGAATAGTTTTTTGTTTTTTTTTTGTTGTTGTTGTTTTGTTTTGTTTTTTTATAAAGCTATGGCTGTCAGTTTTTCACCCCATTAAAACACAAAAAGTGCCCGGTTGGACCACTGAGACTCATATGGGCTCTGGTTGGGCAGACCTATGAGTCCTACACATCACCTAGCCTCTTTGAGTCTGGACTGGGAAGATAAAAGACTTAATAATTAATTCCCACAGATTGTGGTGATGATTGAACAAAGCAAGAGCCTAACTGTAAACTGCAATGATCATCACTATAGTTGCTACCCCAAAGACTTGGCTACCTATAAAATAGCAAGAGTCACTAAGAATATTTGTTGACTTTCTGACACAGTTTTGAGTACTTTCCATGTATTGCTTCATTCGTCCTCACTATAGCCTATGAGTTGGGTACTTTTTTTTTTTTAAGGCTCTTATTTATTTATTCATGAGAGACACAGAAAGATGCAGAGACATAGATAGAGGGAGAAGCAGGCTCCCTGTGGAAAGCCTGATGTGGGACTCAATCCCAGGACCTCAGGATCGTGATCTGAGCCAAAGGCAGATACCCAACCACTGAGCTACCCATGTGTCTCTGGATACTGTTATAATATCCCTATTTCATAGTTGAAGCAACTGAAATACAGAAGTCCCAGTGGAATACCAGTTTCCTGGCCCAATGCAAGTATGTCTCCTTATCCCCTGGTCTTTACAGTAGAGGAGGAATTTCTTTTTGGCCTGGGAGAGAACACTGGATATAATGGATAGGCCAAGACTCTAAGCAAAAGGAGCTTGAAAAGACCCCTTAAGCTTGAAATGAACATCACCAAGTCAACTTTGGAAACTTTCTCAATAGCTCTCTGCCCTCTAACCTCTAATACCTTTACCAATTTGTGACACAGAACTGACAAAATAATCTCAAGTTCAAGATCATAATAAAAGATGGAGAAAATGCATTGGCAATGGTGAGGAAAAAGGACATTTTAAATGAATATGGAAAAATAAAGCAATATTAAAAAAACATGAAGGAAAGGGATGAGGGGACTTAGCTAGTACTTTATAATGATGGTGAGAAAGGGTGAGATGCTCTTGTGATTTCAAGGTTGTGGGGTAGAATTGTTACAAGTTAGGAAGAGTCAGATGGCCTAGGTCAAACTTCACTCTACTACTTCCTAGCTAAATGACTTTGAACCAGAACTTCATAAGCTTTGGTTTGTACCAGAAAGTTGAAATAATACTATAATCTACCCCCTTACATTACCTTTGATGTATTCATGGAAGGATCCCTAGAATGGATCTAGCATATATTAAATTCTCAATAAATTATAGTTTTATTATGCCTCCTTTCTCAACAAATCTGAGAACAAATCTGGAAAGGCAAGATGACTGTCCCAAGAAGTAGATCAGATTCAGTCATGGAAACAACCACTAGGTGTGGAAACTCAAAGTGCTTGCTGGTGTAGGTCAAATGTGACTTCTGAATGACATGTGAGAATGTAGACAATTTCTTTTTTTTAAAAAACATTTATTTATTTATTCATGATAGACAGAGAGAGAGAGAGAGGCAGAGACACAGGAGGAGGGAGAAGCAGGCTCCATGCCGAGAGCCCGACGTGGGACTCAATCCCGGAACTCCAGGATCACGCCCTGGGCCAAAGGCAGGCGCTAAACCGCTGAGCCACCCAGGGATCCCTGACAATTTCTTTATGGACTGGAAGTTACTATTCTGAGAACTCTGTGCTGTTTTTATTTTAGGAAAATGGATGCCAAAGCCTGGATTTCATTACCTGCTTTGAAGTCATTGGGGATATTCCAAGTTTACAGTCTGGTTTATTTTTACCACTCTGGTTTGATTTGGGACCCAACTGTGGAAGCCTGGAAAGGAGAGTGTCGTCTTTTTTAGTAAGTCAGCTTCCAACTATTTTTGTTTGGTTTGGTTTTGTTCTGTTTTAGCAAATGTGTTAAACGTTTACCATGTGTTAGGAACTTTTACATGACATCATTTCACCCAATCGTCATCACTAGGAAATGGCAATGTGTTGAAGGGTTAAATATTTTATCTCACTTTATTTTCATACCATCCATGTGAAATATGGGTTTGTAAATTTGGAAGTGGAAGATCAGGATGAGAGTGAAAGAGGAAAAGAGAATTGACATTAGTTGAGTGCGAGTTACAGAATTCAAAAGGTGTTTCTCATTTTTTGCTATTTGAAATATACTGCAGAGAATAACACAGAAATAAAAACATTTGTCATGCAAACATATTTATCTAAATCGTTGATTAACACTCACACTTCCTGAAACTACTCTGTATTCCTCTCGTGGCTTCTGAATATCCCCTGGGGAGACTGTGTATCATTCTGATACTGAGCCTGACCTTGGCAATGACCCCAATTTCCTCCCACACAGAGGAGACCATGAGCATCTATTGAAAGTATATCCTTGGAGGGATCCTGGGTGGTGCAGCGGTTTGGCGCCTGCCTTTGGCCCGGGGCACGATCCTGGGGTCCCGGGATCGAGTCCCACGTCGGGCTCCCGGTGCATGGAGCCTGCTTCTCCCTCTGCCTGTGTCTCTGTCTCTCTCTCTCTACCTGTGTGACTATCATAAATAAATAAAAGCTTAAAAAAAAATTCTCTTGAAAGTATATCCTTGGAGATGTAACATTCTGGGGGCTCCACAGCCTGGACTCTATGCCCAGTCCTTCTTTCCCTCTCTTTCCCCCATTCTAGTTCTCTCCCTCCCCCAATCCTGACCTGACTAAGCCTGTCCCTGGGGTCATTGGAGCTGCTGCCGGCCATCCTCTGGCTTGGGTGTAGGAAGCGGATCTACCTTTACTTTGGGGTTTGGGCTTTCCCAGTTTAACAACAGAAATCTACCGGGGTGGAACTAGAGCATTTAGAGAGGGTCAGTATTCTTACCAATAGAACTTTACAGCACGTGAAAAATTCACCTTTTAGAAGCTATGATTTATTTTCCCAGCAAGGCTCCTTGATGTCATGATTAGTAAATGAAAATCCAGTAACTTTTTTTTTTAGAGTGAGTTGGTCTTTGTCTTAGTCTGCATTCCTGTGCAGCTATAAGAGGGGATAATCAATGTAGAAATTGGGCAGAATGCTTCCCTGTGAGGGGATTAGTTGTCCTGCTGACAAAACTCCAAATTTAATCCCTTATCATTTCTCACCCATTGCAAAGGTAGCTCAGTAAGAGGGACTGTGGCCCTGACACCCTCAGATCCAGGTTCTGACTCAAGAGTCCCAGGGATTGATAGCAAAGGGGAGGCACAGGAGGGCCTGGGCTTCTGCACACACCATCACTACATACTGAGCACAGACTGCCTGAGGACTCACCTCTAGCTTTGCTGCTTATTAGCTGTGTGACCTTGGGCAAGTCACTTAACTTTTCTGAGTCCCAATTTCCTCATCTGTAAAATGAGAATAAAAAAATAAAATAAAATAAAATAAGAATAATAACAGTATCTATTTCTTCGAATTGTGAATATAATTTGAATTAATCCACATAAAGGGCTTAAAACAGGTCCTGAACAGAAATGCCCAATAAATGTTAGCTATTTTGTTTACTCCTACTTGTCACTGAATTGTAGAAAGGAAGCATCCATGTCAGAGCTGCCCTGAGAAAAAAATATCTCACCCTTCATGGACAGACTTTACTTGACAGCTAGATCATCACTTTAAGTAAATAAAATGCATTCGCTAATTGAACGGGTAGATTTGTATGAACTATCCACATATTTTTCATCCAGTCACTCCATGTGGTAAATAGATCCAAGAATAAAATCTATTTATTTTTTCATTGAATAAACACTCATTATCAGGTTCTGGGTTAGAGTGCAAATAGAGGTCTGTATAGCATGTGTCTAAATATTTAACAATTATAAATCAACGTCGCAAGTCGTACATAAAATGGGTTTTCCCACTTTGACAAATTCACTTTCAAGATGACCTAGAAAGGCAGGTTAGTTGGTAGGAAGGTACATGGAGAGTGCTAGGTGTGAGCTGGGTTACATAGGGTGATCAGAGTTGCTTCACGGAAAAGGGAACATGGATCTAAGGAGGCAAGCCATGCAATATCTGAGAGAAAAGCATTTCAGACAGTGCAAATGCTCTGATGCAGAATGAGAGGGTGAGCAGTTGGCCATCAGGTGAGAGTGGTAATGGGGTAGAGGGACCAGGTTCTGTGCCCAAATGTGTCAGTGGAAGGATGGCTGGCCATGGGCCCCACCCATGACCTGACACCTTCTTTTTCCACCCCAGCTTGATTCTTCCCCCTGCATCCTTGCACACAGGCATGTGGGTGCTCTGGTTTACATGTCCCAGCTGCACGTGGAGCTTCACCCACTCCAGGCCTAGGGCTGCTCACCCTGATGGCATCATTCCTCCTTGTGAGGCTAAACTCAGGAAAGAGGTGCATGTAGGTAATGGAAGTGAATGCTGGACCATTGGGGTAGATGACTCCGGGATTCTGGGCATCTAGAAGGAGGGAGTGGTCTTGGTAAACAACTCCTTTGGCCCTGTAGACTCCTTATCCTGTGGGAAGATGTATCACTGGAAGAGGATAGGAACATATGCTAGGCAGGAGCCTTTTGTTTGCGTCCATGGACAGTACCACTTAGTACAGCCCCTCGTTGCTGCCTGTAATGCCCTTGGTGTTGGAGATACCACAGTGAGAAGACAGACATGGTATAGAACATAATATGAACAAGCATTAAACAACTACTTAAATAAGTAATTATTCCAATTGTGAGAATGCCATGCAAGAGAAATCCAAGGTGTCGTAAGCACATGGGGAGAGAGCTCTGACCACTTCTGGGGTTTATAGGAGGTTTTACTGGGAAAGTTCCATGATCTGAGAGCTGGAAGATGTGGAAGGTATAGAGGATATGAAAGCATCTTCTAGGCAAAAGAAGGATGATGTGCAAAAGCCCTGAAGTGGGAACTGAAGAAGGTTAATACATCTGGAAGGCAGAGAAAAATGGAGAAGGAATGGCAAGAGACTGGAGATGTATGGGACACTTAAGGGTATGAGAGGAATTTTGTTTTGTAAGGACTTCTCTAGAAGCAATGAGAAGGCATGTAAGGATTTTAAGCAGCTTATGATTTGATAATAAGAGATGGGGGCAAGAGGCAGAGGTGCACTAAGCCATTTGGGAGGCTGGTGGGAACACATTGTTAGCTTCAAGAAGATGTAGAGAGAAGTGGATGGCTCTGAGGTCTGGGGCTCAGCGAATATGGAAGTAAAGTAGGGGAAATATCCAAGATGAATTTCAAGTGTCCAGCTTAGCAACTGGGTGGGAGGGTGGTGCATGTCCAGTGCAGCAGGCCATGTTGAGTTTAAAGTGATGGTGAGGGGATCCTTGGGTGGCTCAGCGGTTTCACGTCTGCCTTTGGCCCGGGGCGCGATCCTGGAGTCCAGGGATCGAGTCCCACGTCGGGCTCCCGGCATGGGCCTGCTTACCCCTCCTCCTGTGTCTCTGCCTCTCTCTCTCTATGTCTATCATGAATAAATAAATCTTAAAAAAAAATTATAAGGTGATGATGAGAAACCGGATGTAGACATGGAGAGGGAGCTCAGAGAAGATGCCTGGGTTGGACCTGTCAATGGGTAAAGGCAGTGGAACTGAGGGAGGAGATAGGGGTCATCTAAGTGACATCTCCCTACAGGGCTCTCTCCTCAAGGAGAGGAGGCCAGGGTTAGCTGAGTTCTGGAAAGTTCCATAATTCCGTGTTGGACTCCTTGTTTTCTTATACTTTAACCTCCATCATCCTGGTCCAACCCACCATCATCCCTATTCCCCACAAGGTAGTCAGAATGATCCTTTTTTTTTTTTTTTAAGATTTTATTTACTTTTGCAAGGGAAAGAGAGAGAAAACATGAGTGTGAGGGACAGAAGGGGCAGAGGGAGAATTAGACGACCCCCTGAGCAGGGAGCCTAATGCCAGACTCGATCCCAGAACCCTGTGATCATGACCCGAGCCAAAGGCAGATGCTTAACCAACCGAGCCACCCGGGCTCCCCAGAGTGATCCTTTTAGAACATGTCTCTCCGTGGTTCAAAACCCCCCAACAGTCCCAAGCTCACTCAGAGGGAAAGTCAAAGTCCTTATGGTAGACCACAGGGTCCTGCACAATTCAGCATACATGTTCCTTCCACCCCACTACCACTCTCACCCAATGGTCAACTGGGTTGACCCTCTTACTCTGCACCAAAGCATTTGCACTGGACATTCCTCCCATCTGAAATGCTTTTCTCTCATATATTGCATGGCTTGCCTCCTTAGATCCATGTCACCTTCTCTGTGAAGCAACTCTGATCACCCTATGTAACCCCAGATCATACCTAGCAATCTTCATGTACCTTCCTACTAAACTGTAAGCTTTGTGAGGGCAGAGATTTTTCTCTTTTTACTTATTACTGCAATTTCCCAGCACCTAAAGGAGTCCCTGGCACATTCTTGGTTTTCAGTAAAATTTGTTGAATGAAAAAAATTAAAAAGTCAAAGGAAGCTGAGGTATATCAGGCTCTTACAAAAAAATTATGCCCAGTACAAGATATTTCTAAAGTGAGTGAGTGATCTGCTTCCACTGAAGCTGAAATAAAGTGAAGAGTGAAACATGATCTTTACATTCCTACATGACCTCAATTTCCATATTGATTTGGAGAAAACAATGCATGATCTTTTTCTGCTTTTACATGTTATAACTGTTGGATCCAAGCAGGTATCAGAACAATGTTGGTTCCCTATAGCATCTGTAGGTAACTGAGAGATTTTTTAGTTCCAGAGAGAAACTCCATTAGACACAGGGTTATTGTCTTTTTTCCAACCTCTCTGGGAAACAACAATGCATTATTTCATGAACTAGAAAAAATTAGTTTGAGAATCACTGCTATTTATATTTGGGAATAGTGTGTGGGCATTGGCCTCCATGGGTGGCCCCAGGGATTCATGGCTTCTAGTGGAGGATAAATTGCTGTGAAGTGCATAGCCCCTACTCCCAGGAGACCCTGTTGGAGCACAGTGAAAAGATGACCAGATCGGGAGTCATAATCTGGGTTCAAATCCTCAATCTTCCACTTAGGAAGAGAAGTCATAGTGATAGAAGGGACCTTCTCTGAGCATCTACTTCCCTAACTGAAGAGGACAATAATATGGCCATTCAGCTATACGTAGATACTTACTGGAACCCTTAATCTTCTGTGAGTTAGTCACTACTGTGAGCATATTTTCTATTAAGTCATCTTATTTTCATAACCTCTGAGAGGGTTCTATATTTATCTTTCTTTGACAGTTGAGGAAATTGAGGAAATGTTAAATAACTTGCCCAAGACCACCTAGATAATAAGGGCTGAGCCAGTCTGCCAAACTAAGGGAAGGGCCCAAATGTCCATTCACAGATGAAAGGATGAAGATATATATATACATATATATGAATATTATTTTTATATATATACATATATAATGGAATATTACTCAGCCATCAAAAAGAATGAGATCTTACTTTCTGCAAGACATGGGTGGAGCTAGAGTGTACTACACTGAGCAAAATAAGTCAGTCAGAGAAAGATAAATACTATATGATCTAACTCATATGTGGAATTTAGGAAACAAAACATGAACATATGGGAAGAGAAAAAAAGAGAGAGGGAAGCAAACCATAAGAGATTCAACCACAGAGAACAAACTGAGAGCTGCTGGAGGGGAGATGCGCAGGGGATGGGCTAAATAGGTGATGGGTATTAAGGAGGGCACTTGTTATGGGGCTCCTGGGTAGCTCAGTTGGTTAAGCATCCAACTCTTGATTTTGGCTCAGGTCATGATCTCAGGGTTGTGAGACTGAGTCCCATGTCAGGCTCTGCTGGGCATGGAGCCTGCTTAAGATTCTCTCTCTCCCTCTCCCTCTCCCTTTGCCCCTCCCCTCTACTCACATGCCTGTTCATGCTCTCTGTCAAAGAAATCTTTTTTTTTTTTTTAAAGGAGGGCACTTATTATGATGAGTCCTGGGTGTTACATGTAAGTGATGAATCACTAAATTCTATGCCTGAAACCAATATGACACTATATGTTAACTAACTAGAATTTAAATAAAAATTTGAAAAGAGGGCAGCCTGGTGGCTCAGCGGTTTAGTGCCGCTTTCAACCCAGGGCCTAATCCTGGAGACCCGGGGTCAAGTCCCACATCAGGTTCCCTGCATGGAGCCTGCTTCTCCCTCTGCCTGTGTCTCTGCCTCTGTGTGTGTGTGTCTCTCATGAATAAATAAATAAAATCTTTAAAAAAAATTTTTTTTGAAAAGAAAAAAAAAAGGAGCTCAGCCAGCCTGAATGCAGAACTGGTGTGCTCACCCACCCACCGCAGCGGCCTCCAGCCACCTCCAACCACCAGCGAGACTTATCACGTATTGTGGACAGCCTACCTTATTATAATTATACTTAAGTATCCCAATAATCTGCAACATCATAGTCACATCTCTTTCTTGCATGAGCCTTCCAGAGCCCAAAGGTTAAGTCGCTTGCCCAAGTGCACTCTGGCAGAGCCGGGTGCATGCTGAGGTTTCGGCTTCCAAAGCTGGCTCTCTTCCCCTTACACCAGGGAAATAAAGTAGCACAAGGAAAAAAGCTTGGCAACTCGCAAAAACGCTCTACAGACATGCGAGGGTGTTACCTTTCCCCGAAGTCAGAAATTCAGGCTCTCCAGAGCTCCCAGGTTACAACTGCTTTACCAATAAGAAAAGTGTTTCCGAGCAGTGGATTCATTTGCCAAGGTCACCCAGGAAGCAGGGGAGCTGGGATTGGGAGCGGCGAGTCCCGCCCCATGGTGGTTACCCTGGTCTCCGCCCTTCACATGGGGGGACCCCTGGGGTCAGGGGTACTGGCTAAGGGGCTCTGCGTAAAAATCATGTATCCTTCTACAGAGTTGATTTGATTCAGAGATTTGGGTAGAATATCACGTTAAACGTGTTGATATTAGCGCATCGGAATGCAGCATTCACAGAAGCGTTTATAATAAAAAACGATACTTCAGAACAATTTTGCCTTTGCTCCTGCAGCTCACGGCCCTCCCCCAGGCGCCCAGGGACCTAGATGAGCCCTCTCAGCCAGCAGGGGTCCTTGGGAAGTTTGAGAGGCTCCTCCCTTGTCATGCACCAGAATCCCAGGGACACAACGCAGAGGCCGCAGGGGCGTTTGCATCTCGTGGTGTGTTTTGTGCTGGTGGAGGTGCGGATAGCTTAGATGTGAGTGACACTGCTCGGGCCGGGGGTGAGGTGCGGGGGTGTCTGTCCTGTTGTCTGTCCTGCGTTGTTTTTGCGTCGACGCTGCTCTGCACCCGGAGCGAGCGGTGGCTCTGGGGCCTGGGTGAGAGCCCGCCCCCCACACCTCGCCGCATGCATTTCCCTTCTCTGCCACTGGGGGTCACAAGTACCCACGATAATGCTCCACCTCTTTTTAAGAAAGAAGTTCCCTTTTCACTGAAGAAAAGTCGCTCTGCCTTTTTTTTTTTTTTTAATTTTTATTTATTTATGATAGTCACAGAGAGAGAGAGAGAGAGGGGCAGAGACACAGACAGAGGGAGAAGCAGGCTCCATGCACCGGGAGCCCGACGTGGGATTCGATCCCGGGTCTCCAGGATCGCGCCCTGGGCCAAAGGCAGGCGCCAAACCGCTGCGCCACCCAGGGATCCCCTGCCTTTTTTTTTTTTTTTTTTTTTTAATTGAAGTTCCATTTGCCAACATAGAGTATAACACCCAGTGCTCATCCCTTCAAGTGCCCCCCTCAGTGCCCGTCCTCCCTTTGTTAAGGAAGGGTTAAAGGCCCCCCGGGGGGGGGTGGAGAGGGGGAATGAGGGCTGGGGGTTGGTCTCCTCCCAGGGAAGCGGCCGCCCCCCAGCTGAGGACCACTTGGGGATATTCGACAAGCAGCTGCAGGGCGGTGGGAAGAACAGGTGTTAACCTCATCTCCTTCACCTGCAGGCTAAATAGCCTCCAGGATGCATTGCTAATGGGCAGCCAGGGGTAGGAACTGGCTTACGATGAGGTCATGTTTTAGAAGCAAATAGATTTAAAACCTGGAATAAGACAAGGTTTAGGACATCCATGATTATGGCCAAAGGGTAAGTGACTGAACTGTGGGAAACCTTTATCTTATTGGACCTTTCTTCTCCACTAGGCCGCAATTTCAGTGTTCTTGGGCTTTGTATTCCCAGCGCCCAGCCCAGCGTACCTCTGGAGTCCTGGTGGACTCACAGTGAGTGTAGAGAGAAGTAGGGAGGGGATGGAGGAAGGACAGGAGACAGAAAGGAAAGAAAGATGGAAGGTGTGTGTGGTAAGACGGTGTTTGTGGTAGACAGCCCCCAGGGAGTTCCACCTTCTGGTATTTGTGCCTTTGGGTAATCCCTCCCCATGCCTGCGGGCTACACCTAGTGACTCACTTCTAATAAATACAATATGGAGAAAGGAGTGCCTGGGTGGCTCAGGCGATTAGGCATCCAACTCTTGGTTTCTGCTCAGGTCATGATCTCAGGGTCATGAGATCGAGCCCCAAGTCAGTCTCCTTGAGATTCTCTCACTCTCCCTCAGCACCCCCTCTCCTCACTGCTGCTCTCATGCTCTCTCTTTTCTCTCTCAAATACATTAATTAAAAAAGAATATGGAAAAAGTTATGGGATGTCATTTCCAAGATTAGGTACCAAAAAGGCTATAACTTCTGTCTTGGGCACCCTTTCTTGCTCTCTGACTCTTGCTTTGAGGGAAGCACACTGCCAGGTTGTGGGCTGCTCCACAGGTGGACCATGTGGCAAGGAGCTGCTGTCTCTGGCCACAGCTAAAGAACTAAGTTCTGTCAACAAGCAAGTTTGGAAGCAGGTCTTCCCCCATGAACCTTGACATGACTGCAGCCCCAGCCAGCATCTTTGCTGATGGCTTGTGAGAAACCCCAAGTCAGAGACACCCAGCTTGCCACGCTGGACTCCTGACCCACAGAAACTGTGACATAATCAATGTTTGCTATTTTAAGACGTCGACTGAATCATTAGGTAGCAATGGGTAGCTAACAGATTGGGGTACCTAAAAAATGGTGTGTGACTGTAACAAATTCCTAGAAAAGCAGAAGCGTAGGCAATAGATGGAAACTTGAAAGGATTTAAGAGAAATTTTAGATTGCCTGCAACACACTTATTGTAGAAATCTGGGCTTTGATGTCACTACTCTTAATGCCTGTACTCTTAGGCCTCTCAGGAAATGCAGATTCTGCACATATGCAAGAATCTTCATGATCATTCCAAAGGCTCTGTGCCCTTTAAGATGTGATAAATTTGAGTCAAGAACACAGAGAGGAGCTCTTTTCTTAGTAACCATTTTCTCCTTTTAAGAGCCATAACATAATGTCAGCATGATCAGCTCTGAGTGATATATTGAAGGTGTCTTATTGGGACAGAATCACTGAAAAGTGTCTGATGTGCTTTCAGTGCAGTGAATTTGACTCAAGGGCAGTTGACTAACCATGCAAACCCCGCAGGAAAGAGAACCAGGCTGAGCCAGAAGAAGGAGGTTAAGTCTTGTCTTTGCCTTTAACTGAGTGATGTTGGGTTAATGACTTGAATTTTCTGTACTTCAGATAATCAATAATAATGGAGAAATATGCCAACAGAGTTCTTGTGAATATTATATATGACACCATAGGCGAAAATGCCTTGACAAATATTTTGTTCTTCATATATATGGTGATAATCCTGCAATATAATGGAGATTAAATTATAACTTCCCTTCTTTTTTTTTTTTTTTTTCGGGCAGCAATTCCCTGTGTTCTGACAACCTTACCACAATACTTCAGAGAAAAGCACCATTGGCCCAAAAAAATGTTTTAGATTCAGCATTAACCATATAAAATTTATTTTTTAAAGCTTTTGTTTATTTATTCATGAGAGACACAGAGAGATGCAGAGACATAGGCAGAGGGAGAAGCAATCTCCCTGTGGGAGCCCAATGCGGTACTTGATCCCAGGACCCCGGGATCATGACCTGAGCTGAAGGCAGACGCTCAACCACTGAGCCACCCAGGCATCCCAGGTGCCCCATCCATATAAAAATTATAAACACAAATGAAATGCCTCTTGTCTATTTTTCCCTGGAAGACCCAGCCAGGCACATTTCACTTCCTTTACGTGCCACCTTTCTTTTGTATTTTTCCCACCTTCCTCTGTCTGTCTTTCCTTTCTCCTGAAAAGGAGGATAGGGACTAAGATCCATTTGGCCAAGTAAGACAGATAAATAGTTTTTAGGGTTAGCAAGGCAAAAGAGAAATAGACACTTTCGGGGATCCCTGGGTGACTCAGCAGCTTAGTGCCTGCCTTTGGCCCAGGGCATGATCCTGGAGTCCCGGGATGAAGTCCCATATCAGGCTCCCTGCAAGGGAGCCTGTTTCTCCTCTGCCTGTGTCTCTGCCTCTCTTTCTCTCTCTCTCTTTCTGTCTCTCATGAATAAATAAATAAAATCTTAAAAAATAAAGAAATAGACACTTTCATACTCTGGTGTTGGAACTACAAATTGGTATAGTCTTTTAGGAGGACCAGGTGCCTATATTTCAAGATTTTTAAAGTATGTGCCCTTTGACCCCATAAAGTCCAAGTCTAGGAATTATTTCTGTAAGAATTACAAGCATATGTGTGTATTTTATATAAATGGAGATGATCATTATGATGCTGTTTAAAATATGAAAAATTAGAAAGAATATAAATGCCATAGGGTGTTGATTATGCTAGATAGCCATTCAAAAGGATCCAATAGATCTATTCATGTACTGGCATGGAAAGATCTCTAAGACATTATAAGCAAGAAATAAGCTAACTGAGTCACTTTATTCATAGAGCAAATATTTACAGAGCACTTTTATTTCAAACACTGGTATAAATGCAAGAAATGTAGCCGTGAGCAATTCAGGCAAAATTCCTGCCTTTACAGAGTTTGCATCATAATTGAAGACTTATGTTTAAAATGTGACCCAGGGGCAGCTGAGTGGTTCAATCATGAGCATCTGACTCTTGGTTTCAACTCAGGTCATGATCTCAGGGTCATGGGATCGAGCCATGATGGGTACCGTGCTGGGTGTGGAGCCTGCTTAAGAGTCTCTCTCTTCCTCTGCACCTTCCTGCCCCCATGACCACTTTCACATGCCCTCTCTCTGAAAAAAGAAAAGAAAGGAAAATGTCACCCCATTTAGGTTAGAAAGAACCATATATGGATATGTTTCTAAATGAGGGTATATATAGATGAATCTGACTCTGTCCCTAGTCTTGTGGCTTTCAATTAGTAGGAAGGATGTTCTTAACTCAGAGACAGGGACATGGGAGTGGCTGGGCACAGTTCATGTTCCTGAGACTAGGAAACTAGTACTAGGAAAGTAGTACTCATAAGGTAGAAGTGCAGTCAGGCAGTACTGGACTGACAGAAAAAGTACTAGATGATTATTTTTCTCTTTTGAACATGCATTTTTACAAACAGATAATATACAATCTTTTGAAGACATTCTATCATACTATCACTAACCCAAAGAGTTCTGCAACCCATGGCTACATAACAATTCAGCAATCCTATAGATTACTCAGTGCTCAGGACTGTGACCTCTTAATCCCTGTCACCCGTTTCACCCATCCTCCTACCCACGTCCCCTCTGGTAACCATCAGTTTGTTTCCTCTACAGTTAAGAGTCTGTGTTTTGGTGTGTCTCTTTTTTCCCCCCTTTGTTTTGTTTCTTAAATTCCACACATGACTAAAATCACATGGTATTTGTCCTTCTCTGACAATTTAGTTTCTTTAGCATTATACTCTCTAGATCCATCCATATTGTTGCAAATGGCAAGATCTCATTCCTTTTAATAGATGAATAATATTCCATTGTTTTATATATATATATATATATCATTTTTTCTTTATCCACTGATCAATTGATAAACACTTGGGCTGCTTCCATACCTTGGCTATTGTAAATAATTCTGCAGTAAACATATGGATGCATAATATCTTTTTGAATTAGTGTTTTCATATTCTTTGGCTAAATTCCCAGTAGTGGAATTACTGGATCATGTGGTAGTTCTCTTTTTAATTTTTTAAGGAAGCTCCATACTGTTTTCCATAGTGGCTGCAACAGTTTGCATCCCCACAAACAGTGTGCCAGGGATCTTTTTTCTCTGCATCCTTGCCAACACCTGTTGTTTCTTGTATTTTTTTATTTTAGCCATTCTCAGATGTGAGGTGCTATCTCACCATGGCTTCTATTTGCATTTCCTTGCTGATGAGTGATGTTGAGCATCTGTTCATATGTCCATTGGCCATCTGGATGTCTTCTTTGGAGAAATGTCTGTTCATGTCTTCTGCCCATTTTTTAATTGCATTATTTGTTTTTTGAGTGTTGAGTTGTATAAGTTCTTTTTATATTTTGAATACTAAACCTTTATCACCTATGTCATTTGTAAATATCTTCTCCCATTTAGTAGGTTGTCTTTTAGTGTTGTTAATTGTTTTCTTTTCTGTGCAGAATCCTTTTTTTTTTTTAACGTGGTCCCAATAGTTTATTTTCACTTTTGTTTCCCTTGTCTCAGAAGACATATCTAGAAAAATGTTGCTATAGTCAATTAGCAGAGAAATTACTTCCTGTGCTCTCTTCTATGATTTTTATGGTTTCAGGTTTTACATTTAGGTCCTTAATCCATTTTGAGTTTATTTTTGTGCATGATATGAGACAGTAGTCCAGTTTCATTCTTTCATGTAGCTGTCCAGTTTTCCCAACACTATTTGTTGAAGAGACTCTCTTTTCCCATTGCATATTCTTGCCTCTTTTGTTGAAGATAAATTGACCATGTAAGTATGGGTTTATTTCTGGGCTGTCTATTCTGTTCCATTGATCTCTGTATCTATTTTTGTGACAATACCATACTGTTTTGATTACTACAGCTTTGTAGCATATCTTGAAATCTGGGATTATGAAGCATCTGCTCTTGTTCTTCTTTTTCAAGATTGCTTTAGCTATTCAGAGTCTTCTGTGGTTCCATACAAATTGTAGGATTAATTGTTCTAGCTCTGTGAGAAATGCTGTTGGGTATTCTGACTGGGATTGCATTAAATCTGTAGATTGCTTTCTTCCCATTAACTTTTATTCTGTAGAGCACTGATTTCTTGTTCAAGCTGTTACTTAATAGCTGTTTAACTTCTGGTCTTTGAGTCTCAGTTTCTTCATCTGTAAAATGAAGAGAAAAATTTCTGCCTCAAGAGGCCATGAGGATCAAATCAAATGACAGAGCTGAAAGAGCTTTGCCATCTATAAGACATTGTGAAAATATAAAATAAGCTTATTACTAATAAAAGGCCAAGTATTTCAGTACATTTTCAACAATGCTTTAGAAGGAGCTCTCTGGTAGTGTGTAAAACATGCTCTATAGAGGGGAGGCTGGGATAAAGAGACCTACCTGGGTTGTTGCAGGGGTAGAGGTAAATGGTGATGAAAGGCATTGGCAATGGGAATGGACAGAAGGGATCCCCATGTGAGAGGGAGTGTGGAGAAGAAAGCAGCAATGATAATCCTACGGTTGTAGTCTGAGTGACCTGGAAGAAAGGATGGCATGAACCACAATAGGTAATTTGTTTACATGTTTATTGAGTGCATGTTTTTTTCCCCCAGGCGTTGGTCTGGGAGCCTGGAGCATATCCGTGAACACCATATCCAAGTTCCCTGTTCTCATGTGTGAACATTCTTGGGGGGGTGGGGTAAGGGGAGGAGGTCATGGATCTTTTCCAGCTGCTGAAATGAGGTGGCCATAGCCCAATCCAAGGATGAGCTTGAGTTGACATGATCTGAAATG